GTTACTACACTTCACGAATCACTATTGCACACAGACTCGTGTTCTCAGTCTGATAAAATCTCCACTGGTCGTTTCATGGTAACAGAGTTAAATGCTGTAACAACAACAGTCTCACTAAATTACACACTCCCAATATCACTGTAACTACAGCACACATAAAGTCTTCTCTTCACAGCCTGCTTTCACTTTACTAGCTCCCAGGCTGGTAGCCATTTCACATCAACCTCCTAATCTTCTCTTCACAGGCTAACTGACCAAGCTCTAACTGCATCCCTTGCTTATAATATCTTAGCACAGACCACGTAGAAAACTCTTTTTCGAACAGTACCTCTGTTGTTGCATGCATATCCTTTGTTGCAAGAATGTGTTTACAGAGCCATTGCCCAGAAACGGCTCTACATGCTACATTGCTGCCTCCTTAAGGCTATTCATCCTGAATGGCCTATAGTCATACCGCCATTTTCTCTTTTCTGAGGACTGTGTTTGTGACAACTGTGCTTGATCTCACATTACTCCCAGTGACTAGGTTTCCATTTTGATTACTCTCCAACTGCTCCTGTTGATCACTTCTTAAGGCTGCTTGTCCCAAACAGTTCTCATGTAGGGTGCCAGTCAGTCCAAGTGTACTATCATCAACCTTCTTTTCCACATCATGACACACAACAGGATGCAAACAATAAACTGGACAATCTGCCTACAGAGGTCAGTACTCCTGCATCTGTGGCTCTTACTCTGTTGTTAGGGGTCTCTTCTTTCATTTCAGAGGGGGGTCGACCCCGCCAAGATGTCCTGAAACTTATTTTCTAATGGAAATTTTGACTGTTTGTGTTGCAACCTCCAGCTTTAGGGTCTTCCTAAGGAACCTACCAGATATCTTCTCTTTCCTCGGTACCTTTTGCTGTTGTTCCACTCTGGTTTTGCTCAACATCACTTCCTGAATATTCGTCCTTTCTGGGTTCCTTGTACAACATTGTCCTTGCCTGGTCCCTTATGCTATGCAGGAATGGCATGGCAAGTCATCCCTCTAAAGGCAGTAGCCAACTTCTTCCAGGATCCAGCATTACCCTGGGTCTGTTTCCTCAGCTGTTGGTGGCGCACTACAGCTAGATGCCGATCCCCATACCGCTTCTTGCATGTTCTGAGAGTTTTCACTGAACCGTCTTCTTTAGGAACCCCCCATGCACCGCTACAGACTCTATTTTCACTGGGGTTGGCTCCTTTCTCTCAAGACAGCCCTCCATCGCTTCTTGGCAGGATGTTGTTTCTTTTTGCCAGGCATTCATACTGGTTCCCATCCTTTCCTGATTGGTGTCCATCTTGGCTATTATTTCATCTTGAATGGACTCTGCCCTTGCTTAGTGGATGTCCATCTGGGAGATGAGAGTACTTCAAGGGACCTCAGACTTCTCATTATTGATGTCTATCTTGGCTTCCATCTTTTCTTGATTGGCATCTTTCTTGGCATCCATCTTTTTGTGGTTGGTTTCCATATTTCCTTGTTTGGTTTCCATTTTGACCAGCATTTATTCTTTCAGGAGGTCTTGGCTGGCTCTCATTTCTCTTAGCGTTGGGTCCGCTTTTGCTTGGTTGGCGTCCATCTTGGCCAACAGGCGTTCCAGTATTTATATTTCAGCATCCCGTTGTATTGAGGCATCATCCTATTTTTTACTAATGTATTCGTCAATAATACACCTTTAAAAAGACATTAGGAACATTTAGTGAACAACATATTCCTAATGTCTTCTTAAAGTTGTATTATTGATGGATACATTAGTAAAAAATAGGATCTTCCAGTATTTGTTAAAGCTTCATAGTCAGGTGATATAGCTACACAATATAATATTCAATCCAATGGTTTGTTCGATTCAATCCTTTCCAATCCAACCACTACTGACACCACTTCTCACTTGTAGGAGTGACTATAGACAAGGTGGGATTGGTGACTCGATTTATTGGCCACTTATACAACTCGTTACTACATTTCACAAATCACTATCGCACACGGACTAATGTTTTCAGTCTGTTACAGTCTCCAGTAGTCATTTTCTGATAATGGAGTTCAACATGTAACTATAACAGTCTCACTGAATTACACACTCCAAATATCACTGTACCTACAGCATATATAAAGTCTTCTCTACACAGCCTGACTTTCACCTTACTAGCTACCAGGCTGGTGGCAATTTCACACTAACCTCCTAGTCTTTTCTTCACAGGCTAACTTACCAAACACTAACCTTCTCCCTTGCTTATAAAATATCGGAATGGACCATGTAGAAAACTCTTTTTCCAACAATACCTCTGTTGTTGCATGTGTAACCATTGCAGTGGGAAGGTGTTTACTGAACCGTTGCCCAGAAATGATTCTACATGCTACAATATACATTCATGTGCTGATGTTCACAAGTTATGTTACACCTTTAGATTACATGTAAAGCCATGTAATATTATGGATATACCGTACGTCCAAAAAGTATCCAGCTTTATTTTTTCCCTCTGTAAGTAATGGCCAAAGGGGTGGGGAAACTGAGGGTAGTTGTAGAAGGGACTTTCATGGGCTTGCGTGATTTTTTGCTGACTCGCAACACTGCCGTATGTGTCTGTGGCTGCCAGATAGCCAAGTGGTGTAACACGTGTTCATCGCATTCTCTTTTTGCTCAAGATGACAGAACGCTTGGAGCAGCGATACTGCATTAAGTTTTGTCAGAAACTTGGGGATAGCCAAGCGGAAACAGTCCACAAAATTCAGCAGGCTTTTGGCAATGATGCAATGGGGTTCACTCAAATTAAAGAGTGGTTCAAGTGCTTTAAACATGGCCTTATGTCAGTGGACAGTGAGCAGCTTTCCGGGAGATCGTCAACGAGCCAAATGCTGATGTCATTGAAAAAGTGCGGACACTGATCATGGAGGACCATCGTTTGGCCATCCGTGATGTTGCTGATGAGGTTGGGATCAGCAGAGGTTCCGCAAACACAATTTTAACTGAGGACTTTGGCATGCGAAGAGTGGCGGCAAAATTTCTGCCCAAGCTGCTTTCGCCGGAGCAGCAACAACTCTGCCTTGAAATTGCGCAGGACATGCTGGAGTGCGCCAACAGGGATCCTGAGTTCCTGAAGACTGTGATCACTGGTGACGAGTCATGGGTTTATGGATATGAACCAGAAACCAAGGTCCAGGCGTCACAATGGAAGCATCCAACATCCCCAAGGCCCAAAAGAGCACGACAGGTTCGAAGCAATGTGAAGGTGATACTGACTGTTTTTTTCGATTACCTGGGTGTTGTGCATCATGAGTATGCACCACTAGGCCAGACTGTCAATAAGGAGTACTACCAAGAGATCCTCCGCCATCTTCATGATGCAGTTTGGCGCAAGAGACTGTAGCTGTGGGACGCACGCAACTGGCAGCTGCATCATGAGAACTCCCCAGCTCATTCATCACACCTGATCCAGGGTTTCCTGGCCAAGCATGGCATTCCGCAGGTTTGTCTGGCTCCCTGCTCTCGTGACATGGTTCCTTGTGATTTCTGGCTGTTCCCGATATTGAAGACACTGCTAAAAGGTTGCCGTTTTCACAGCCGCAAGGACATCATACAGAACGCGATGGCACAGCTGCACGCCATTCCAAAAGAAGCCTTCCAGGATTGCTTCCAGCGATGGAAGGACCACTGGGCTAATTGTGTGGAGTCACAAGGGGCCTACCTTGAAGGCGATTGGGTATTGTAACCACCCAGATACAGAACTTTTCTTTCCCGGCCCAAGGTTCGATACTTTTTGAACCACTTTTTATACCACACCACATGGCATCACATCCTATAAGACCATGGATCCTAATGTTCACCAGTATGCAAAATCTCATGAAATTACTCCTAGGCATGCAGGAGGCTTGAAATGAAACTCCTACACTTTCATGAAGTCAGCACTAAACATAGGGACTTAACATCTTCGTCTCCAAATGACTTTACTTTTATGGCAGGGTTGTGGTATGCACTACATCGGAGTCTGGGTGTGATTGAGATCCTTTCTGTATATGGAAGTGAAGAAATCCTGATGCCCCTGTCAGAAGTATGGTTCCAGTTATTTAGTCCATAATTCATCACTATAAACTATTCTTATGGGTGCCACCAGGATGATTTTCCAATGGGCCAGCCAGTTCAGAAGGGAGGAGGGGAGGGGTCAGCAAATTTTCAAGGTGGACCAGCCACAAAATTGTGCTGACAATCTTATATTTAAGTCATTTAAGAACATTTCTACTGCTCCCTAATATATTCATAATAGGATAACAGTATTTAAATACTATAGATTTTAAGCCTGTACTTGATATATTTCCTTCATTTCTGCAATTTGGATTTTTCCTTTTCAAGAAATCTGGCAGAGAAGGACAGGATCCCCCCACCCACATATACACACATGCACACACATTCACACTCCTGTTTATGTTCATCCATTGTCCATGTTCACCAATTCCTAAACTGCTTACTGCATACTGATATATTGGGTTTTTGGACTTTATCCATCGTCCTGGTTTTTAAGATAACTAATAAAAACACGACGTTTTGGAAACTGGATCTGGACGATGGATAAAGTCCGAAAACCCAATATAGCAGTGTGTTATACACCATCGTCAGAATCCTATAGTAACTGCTTACTGCATGTTTTACGTTAAACATAGTATTCAGTTATTCAGAGCTGGTTTAAAGATACTGTCATCATCATGGTTGCAGTGGACCACAGCTTCAAGAGAAAGACAGGGTCCAGGTTGCAGCATCTTTGAACCTTAGGCTAATGGTTTTGCAGAGGATTGATATTCTTGGATGACCAACAAACGTTAATTGTTCCAGTTACTGAAAATTTGGTTGTTTGAAACATTAATCCACAAAGTTTTCGTTATTTGTATGTAATTTCTTCTCTTAAAATCAGATAAGAGATATATACACACAGCACTGTATACAGAGAAAACAATTAACATTTAAAAAGGGTATTCACACCATATATCATGATCAGGCATTAATTCACATATTTTTTTTTAAATCTCACCAACATTTGAATCATTTTATGACATGCCCAAAATTCTCTTCAACCAGCCCTGCAACTTAAAATGTAACACTTTCTTTATAACATGATATACACATATAGGCCCTACTGATTTCAAATTTAGAACATATTCAACATTTTTATTCAAAGGCACATCTAAGAACATGTTGCAAACATATACTATCACTATTTTGGGGATTGTTCTAACAGATATGGAAACTATCTTTGCTCTGTTAACATGGAAGGTTGCTATAAATATGTTTGGATATTTGGCAGTGCTCAGTAACGAAATAATGTGACTTGAAATGGAGTGCAGGACGAGGATTAGTGGATACACTATTTGCTTCTCAGAAACATTTAAGGTAAAGGTTCAACTTCAGGATAATGTGACTGGTACAGGTCTTGAACTATAACCGAAATATACATATTTTCACAATGTTTAAAAACAAGGTATGACACAATTAGCTTTCATTTCTTTCAGTCATTAATCCTTCTCACGCTACATGAGATAAAATTCCTTTAAACTGAACTGTCTGCTCTAACCAGCTTTAGTGTGTGACATTATCAGTCAAATGAAATATCTCCTGCAGTAATTTAATAATTAAACAATTCATTTGCAGTTTTCAAACAATGGAAGTTACAAGTTTCCATGGAAATGTACAGATATTTAAAAAAAAATCGTTCAGTATACAGATGGTTAGTCCTGTTAATCATAGATTTTTCCATTGGAAATAACCAAACAGTGTTTGTGGTATTACTTAATTTACAGACCTTGGTATATAAAATATCTATTAGGGCTACTGTGATCAACTGACTGAGCATTCCAGTTATTCTTCTTAATTTTGATAAATTAACTGTCATTTGTGTCATGAAAAACGCATTACTAGAACTGGATTACTATAGAAGTTAATGAATGATTACTGATTAATGGTAAAAGAGTTGGTTAATTGAAAGTAATTATTAAATTTAAGCTGAAATTTCTATTGTGTGTAGGAGGGTAGGCCAGCCTCAGTGCTGTACCACTTCATTTTTTTTTTTAATTTTAGTGGCAACATGGGTCTTTTAATTATTTCATACGCTGTTACTATAGATTTGATCTACACTACACTACTTTGGTTACTGTTCACTCTGGTATGAGCATTGTGTCCAGGCACAATGATACACGTCTTCATAGTGATGATCACAACTAGAGCATCATTATTCCTAAGAAAATAGGAATGCATTTCAAATTCTTCAATAACTTTTATCCATCCCTGGGTTTCAAGCTCCTAGTACCAATACTGTACTTTTCCTGCTCCATCACAGATGACTGAATGTTTCAATGATCCAGACATCTTTTTTAATAAAAATAATCCAATATAATTCTCATAGTCAACACAGAATGTTGTAATTTATTACAAAGTTACCAACAATGAAATGTTAAAATACTATTGCATTGGCCTCAATTGTAAAGGAATTGCTTTCAAAATGTGCCAAATGCTCAATCTGTTTCACTTTCATTTTCAGGCAAAATTGTATAAACATATTCTTCACTCAAATATGAATACTGTTCAAGAGAAACAATTGGACATATGTCTTCAAACATATATGCGTGTTGAGGTAACTGATGATATGATGTCCATACAGTATGTTTAGCTTCAATTACAATTTTCATAGCATAAAAATTATTCACACTTGTAATTTTAAACAGTACAGCATCTGTTTGTTCTCATCAAATGTGATTGTCTTTGCACTTACATGTTCAGCACCAGAACCATAGTTTTATTTATTTTTAGAAATTATTTACATACTATATTTTGAATTCTGTATTTGAAATATATATTAGCGTTATCATTACTATGTTTTGTTATTCATAACTACCAGCACTGCTCTGTTAACATGAGGATTCTCTTAAGTTACTAAATTTCTGATAAGAAATAACACTAACAAGTTCTGATCAAATGTCCAGTGAATAATGTAATAACATGCTGATGTTTCAGAGAAAATATTCTTATTCTTTCCTTTTCTAAGGTTTTACTTATATTCAGTTGCTATCTGGAGATGTTGGTAAATAAATAGCAATATCTCTCAGTAATACAATATAAACACCAGTTTATCTGAAAAATCCTCTCTCTCCTGTGAATTGTAATACGCTATGAGAACAGAGCTGTTTCTCAAACCATGAATCATTCAGTTCTAAGTATGGTACTGTTGACTAGAATGCTAATAGTAACAGTATCAGTAGAATATAAAAAAGGGTGATTAGTTATTTAATTTTATAATTATTTTCGAAGATCATACCCGGAAATTTCTATAGAATAATGAAGTAAGATAAATTGTAAACAAAAGTGAAGTTTCTCTTGATAGAGAAAACATTCAGAACACCACAGACAATACAGATGTCACAATGATAATACTGGGTGACATGAAACCTGGTACCAAAGGGTTGTTTGACCCCGCATTTCGTGAATGTGTTTATGAACAGTCTTTTCACAAAAGTAAATTCCCTGTGCTTAATTAAGCATCATACCATGAAGACATATGGAAGAGTTGAGTATAGCTCCATGCATTCTTACCCTTTGCCATAGATGGAGATGAATTATTAGCTTTGAACCTTGGTCACTTTTCTTCTGAGGAAAGAAACCCCAACACCCACTGCATAAAAGGATGGATGGGCTCCAAAGTTAGTTTGGAGGCTGTGGAGAAGAGAAAAATCTCTTACCCCAGCCAAATATGAAAGTTGTCCCACTCATAACCAAACTGCTTTACACTTGAGCTGCCCTGGAATTAAGAGAGGGAAGTAAGAAGGAAATTGCAAAAAATGCAGAGGGTCTCAGGCTTTGATTTATGAATTTCTGGATGTCAAAAGTGGGGACTGGCAGTGGGCAGCCTCTCCTGAAAAACCAACATTTTCTCCAGCTACACAGATTATAATGTTGTGCTCTTGATTCAAACTCCTTAACTTTAGATAACTTCTGATATTTCCTTGTGAATCATTGGGACATGAACCAAAACTGGTGGGTATGATTTACTAGTTGAAACTTCTGTACCATACTTAAATATACTGTCACGTGTTGGGTATGTCACGCGACAATTAACTTCACACCATTCAGGGATGTAGCGAACATTTACTCTCCTTTGCTTTTACACTTATACAATTATACATATCACAATTAATCTTAATCTTGTACAATCCAGTGTCTCAATTGCTGTTCAACTACATCTCAGCAAATGCTGGGCTTCAACTGTCTTCTATGGCGACTAAGACTGCCTTGGTGAATGCATTAACCCCCTTATATATCTGTGGCCGTTGATATGCAGTGAACCTTCCATCTCTGAGGAAACATGTTTGTTGCTTCTGCATTTCCTACGCAATGGCCCAGTGTTGTTGCGTTACCATTGAAGTATCTACTCCAAACACCTTACATTTCTCCCTTCTAAAGGTTGTTCATCCCCAAACAGCCTAACAAAACTTTCTTTCCTTCAGTTGTTCCTCTTCCGATCGGTACCTCTGCCCTTCTTTCGTTTTGACGTTCAACTTCCATATATAACATTAAGTTATATATTATTTTCAAATGAAAGACAAATTAATATTGCATAATGGAATTATATAGTTTAGCAGGCTTAACCTATTTTGATTGGTCTACATTTTTCTTGTATTGTGAATAATATTAACTATATGCAATTTGTACAACCATTTTTATCATTTTCATGGCTGTCCTCTACTTACACATTACATCACTGCATGTGTAGTGTTAGATTATTCAGAATTACTGGGTTTTTAAACTTTGTCCATCATTTGGTAGTCTAGAGTCCAGTCACTGAGGTTAGCTCTTTCTAAGGGACCCAACAGAGTAGGTGTCGCCCTCCTCACCTGAGAATTGAAATAGATCCATTCTCCGAAATGTTGTGTTTTATAGTTCTTAGAATACCAAATGATGGACAAAGTCCAAGAACCGAGTAATTCTGAGTGTTATACACAATCATCAGAACCTATATAATCCACCAATTAGTTTCACGCTTCACTCCATTTCACTTGAGTAGAAGAAAGATGAAGCTGTGAAGTTATAAGAAGAAACATCAATTCTTTCAACATCAAAAATTACAGTCTCTATCCAAGTATTATAGGAAGCCTTTGATCATGACACAACTTCCAGCCACCATTTAATGTCATTAAAATGTCATAATTATATGTTTAAAGGTTGTGTCTATTTACTGTAATGTGATTTCACTTCCAAATAACCAAGAGGAGTGCTGCAGTTACCAAGTTTGCCATTGAGATATGTTTGCTTATGAGCATACTTCTTTAAAATTGAGTGTCTGGAAGAAAGAAAATCATGCTACAATTTATATGACTTTCTATTACATAGAGTTTTCCAGCAATGGAACTATCATGTAAATCAGGGCATATTTGTTTACCAGTGCACTTATACACATTCTCTGGATACATTTTCCAAGTTTCAGAAATCTCCACTTGTAACTTTTCAATGAACTGAAAACACTCCTCACTGTGGTGTTATCACTATACTGAATGCACTTTCATATGGACATAAATATTGATATGACAAATTTTCTTATCATGTTTATTTTGAAATGTAAGATACACTTTAAATTCTATTAATTTTATTACAATTTTAAAATGATGTCACTTCTGTTAGAAGTGTACATCTATACTGCACCAGGACTGGCCTTATCTAAATAACAAGGCATTTAAAATGTTAACAAAGTTCCTTCCTGTGACAGTATGACCCTAACAGCTTAACAAGTCTGTATACTGATTCATGGCTTGAGAAATGCCATATCAGAATATGGCATCAGATATGCTGCACGATATCCTGTAGAGGAGAGCTGTTCAGAAATCTGTTGCTGGTCTCTTCTGTAGCCATTCTTGTATGCTTGGTAAACTGAACACCTTTTCTTTCAGAGCTCTTAAAGATGGATACCGGTCTAAAGACTCCTTTCCAAATATTAGTTCAAAGTTCTCCAAAGATACAGCAAACACAAAATCTGTCCATGTTAACTGAAACAATAAAATAAACTATATGAGATTTGAGCTTCCCATTACAGTTTATATCAAGATTATATATTGTGCAATATAAAGTGGCCAGATGAAGACTGTCCTCAACACTTGATATCCACAGCAAAAATGAGGTTTCTGGGAGAATTTAAACAGAAAGAAACAATCCTGCAAATCTGGAAGACCACTAGACTTGTATCTATCCTGCTCATGTCTGAGACATGTTACTGTATTTCCTAGCAGGACTTTTGTGGTTTTCCTCAGTCTATTTATACTCTGCAGTCAAAATATCGTAATTAAATAACCTATGAATCAGTCACTCAACCCTGATTATGTTCACCTTGCTTCTCAGTCATTAATGTTATTAAATCTCTTGTTAATATTCTTATAGACACTCACTGCTCCTCCAACTGAGAACCCTCTGTTCTCTGTCACCACTTTTTCAAACTTGCTGAGGTAGAATGGGATCTTCTCCTTCATGAGGACTACCTTCTTCTCTTCCTTCTTGAACTGATCTGGTTCCATCCTGTACTGAAACAACTCTGAATGGTAGCAGCAAGCATCAGTACACTGCATTTTGCGTTAGACATGGTCAATTGTTTGGGTTCTGATATGCATGACATGTGCTAACATACAAGTTGGGTATTCAAAGGATTCCAGTTTGGTTATTAACACTGCTATTAATTTTGAAAATCAAAACAGTAAAAGAAATATTCAAAGAACTGAGATGTCACAGTTGGTACAGAAACTAAGCTACAGGATTTGATGTGTCTGTAAATGTTGCTGACAGTGATGGATTCATTACAGTTCAGTTATGTTGAACATGGTCTGCTGTTTGAAGAATTTTCACCTCTCTTTCAAATAAAATCAAAATACAGAAATTGTCTTAGTGTGAGTGCCGATCTTAGACTGAAGTTGACCAATATTGAGCCAGATATCCAGGAACTCTGTAAGAGCTGACAAGTTCAACAATCCCATTAAAAGTAATAACATAATTATATCATATTCTTTATTTGTTTAATAAAGATTAAAACTTTGTTCAATGATGATTTGCTTTTAATAGCTCACTTCAAAATTAATTAATTATGTTTTCCATATGTATTCAAAACGTGCTTTTAGATTTATTGTGTTATAAAATATAAATGACGCAGTATGTCTGCATAATTTAGTGGTCCGTAGAATTTTTTCAGACATTTTACTAGTCCTTGGGCTTAAAAAGGTTGAGATGCACTGCCTTAGGGAAACAGAATATGAGGGTGTGGGTTAGATTAAACTGGGTCAGGGTAAGCTCCACTTGGGGGCAATTATAGCCACAGTAATGAACACCTGGGTTGTATTGCGTATCCAAAAAGGAATCCGGAGTGTTTGAGTTATACATGTTTATTAGCTGCTTAATCACAGAGTTGGTAAGTTTTGAAACTTTAGCACAAAATGTGTCTGAGTTTTAGTGACATGAATTCTAAACTTTAGTATTCTTGTCACTATTGAATGCTCTCAACCTAAAAACTTTAATCAGTGGGATTTTTGTGATCTCGAAAAAGCATTTGACTGTGTCAGTCATAAGGTATTATTGGATAAATTAATGTACTATGGAATAAAGGATAAACATCTTAATTTATATAAGTCTTATTTACATAATAGATATCAGAGAACACAAATTAGAAATAGATATGGAAATGTTTTAACACAATCTAAATGGGTTAGTGTAAGAAATGGGGTTCCGCAGGGCTCAGTTTTGGGACCACTGTTGTTTATAATTTATATTAATGACCTACCTAAGATCTTGGAGTTAAACAGTATACCTATTTTATTTGCTGATGATACAAGTGTCTTGGTATCACATCCCAATTCTGGGCAGCTAAAGAATTTACTAGATGAGGTTTATTTTATACTTAGTGACTGGTTTTCAAAAAAATTATTGTCTTTAAACACTGTAAAAACGTGTTGTATAAATTTTACTGCTAACAACAAGGCGTCTATTGGAAGGGATGTAGGTAACATACTAACACAAATCACGAGCTCTTACGATCTTAAATTCCTTGGTATAACTATTACTAGAACTATGAATTGGGAAAGACATATTGATGAGCTGTTAACTAGGCTGAGTTCAGCTTGTTATATGATAAGGAACATGAAACCCATAATGACTATTACTACCCTGAAAATTATTTATAACTCTTATTTCCATTCTGTCATGTCCTATGGCTTGATATTCTGGGGTAATTCAGCTTCTGCTGAAAAGGTTTTTAGGATGCAAAAAAGAGCTATACGATTAATGGTTGGTTGTGGATATAAACAATCATGTAGAAATAGATTCAAGGAATTAAATATACTCCCTTTAAGAGCTCAATATGTATACTTACTGATGATGTTCGTTGTTAAAAATAGAGACAAGTTTGCTCTAAACAATGACTATCATGATTTATTAACTAGACGGAGAATGGATCTACATATGAACCAGGTGAATCTGGCTGTATATGGTAGGGGCGTGTCCCACATGGCGGTGAAGGTCTTTAATGCACTCCCTTATAATCTTAAAGAAATTGCTTCCATACCTAATCAATTTAAAGTCAAATTGAAGGACTTTTTGAGTAATAATTCCTTCTACACACTTGATGAATTTTTTAATAGATGATTTTATTTTGCTAAAGTAATTATTAATTGTTCACTTATTATTACAATTAACATAACAATATATATAAAGGGTCTTGGCAGAAATATGATTGCTTACTGTATACTAATTGTTATTTTGAAATGTAATTATATTAATTTATGTATTCTTGAATTTATTTCTATAACTTGTTTTCTATGTTTTTTATTGTATCTATGTTAAGATTCAAACTTGACTATTTCCACATCTCATGGAACTTGTTTTCTGTATAGATCTATGGAAATGAAATAAATGAATGAATGAATGAACTAAAACTTGGCCAGAGAGCAGCACTGCATTGCAATAAGTTGAGACTACGTGAAAGTGGGAGTCGTTCAATCATATTATATATAACAAAGCCACTTTTCACACACATGGTGTTGTAAAGCACCACAATTGCAGGATTTTGGGAAATGAGAACCCACATGCCCTAATGCAGCATGTTTGCAACAGCCCCAAGGTCAACATGTGGTATGGTGTCACATTTGACCAAATTGTTGGACCCTACTTCTTCCACGAGTGCAGTTTACCTGGATATGCTAAAGAATTAGTTTTGCACACAGATAGTAGCTGAAGTAGATGACCTCATTTTCCAACAAGATGATGCACTAGCCCATGCTGGTGCCATTGCAAGCACTGCTCTGGAAGAACAACTTCCTTGTCAAAGGATTGGCAGGGAAGAGCCCATAAATTGGTCACAAAGATTTTGATTTAGCACCCATGGACTTCTTCTGGGGATACATGAAAGGCATCATACACAGTGAAAGAGTAGGTTCTCTTCCAAGTTTGTGCCAAAGGATTACAGGGACTATTACTGCAGTGCCTTCAGATGTGGTGTCTCAGGTTATGGAATGGATTGAAATTTTGTATCAATGTCTGTAGGGTTGTCAGTGGCACTTACAAGGCAGTAAAACTTGGAGAGGTTGCTATCAGTTTTTGTTAACAAGAAATTTTTATACCAAAGCAGTTAATAAGTATTTATAACTAGAAATCTGGTTCTTTCTCTGACACTCTGCATACAAGCTGGGTTTTAGTAGACCACCTGGATATATACAAGTTCTTAAGTTATTTATTTCACACCAAAATTATGGTTATACCACCATGTCTAGGTTATTCTGATACTAGGCCATGGCATTTCTTCAAATAGAGCAGATTTACTGCTTGCCAGCGGCTTATTCATGAGAAAAGAGACGTTTTGTGAAGCTGAAGTTGATCAGACTTTTTAACAGAGCCTTTAAACCCGCGTTGGGTGTATTCATTATGTGTCTACCGAGCCGGTGACCAGCAGTGAAAGGAGGGATATAATTTACCAAGCCTTTGCCTAACAACAATAAGATGGATGCACATACTGACACAGACTGATGGAAGGGATTTATGAACATGCCGTTGAGATGGGCTCAAGTGCCATGATATACGTGTACATACCAAGTTTCATAAAAATTGGTTCCATAATTCAAGTCAAGAGGGGAGATTCACAGTCACATAGACAACATGGATATTTCATAAGCATACTTTCCTTTTTACAAACTAAGGAAAGTAGGCAAAAAATAAATTCCAGATCCAGTATCACCATGGGCAGAAAGTGGAAGAGAGGGATATATTGTTGATAACTTCATTCCTGCTGGTGTTGCCAACAATCACGTTGCCGGGGGAATTAGGTGGTTTGCATGCTAATGCACAAAGCAAAAACAAGTTACCTAAATGTTCTGAAAGTATGAAATTGAAAATTATTTGTATGAATGGAGGTGGGGATTTCTTTCTAAAATTAATATAACAAATGTGAGACTTCCACATACCTCCATATTAACTTGTTGAGGTTCACAGGGATGAACATAATTTGATGAGGTAAACTATTTTTTTACAATATCAATGCATACAAAAGGTGAACGTACAGGCTGCAATATATTTGTCTAAAGACAATTCTAGAAGTTTGAAAATTGCATACCTTGTTTAAGGTCAGTAAGTGTATCAACCAACATGTCACACTGCAGGCTTTCCCACTCATCACGGCCAGCTAGCCCATACTGCTTTGCTAGGTAACGGGCAATGGAATTGGATTGTCCTACAAGTTTCCCATCTATCTCCAGAACAGGTAACATTCCAAATGGCATCTCTGAGAAATGTTAAGAACATATTAACATCTAGTGTTGGTTCAGTTAAATTCACATCTTTATTTTATCCTCATTTAAATACACAAGATAACATTTTCTGAAGTTTTAAAGAAATGGTACAGCTTGTAGTGCAGGATAAAGTGAAAAGACATGTAGCTATGAGATATTCAATTTGCTTGAATCATATTTGATTACATTTCTCAAAAATAATTTATTATACATCTAAAAATATGCATAACATCAGATATTTTGGTAAATATTTACTAAAATTACTGAAGCATTTGTATATTTTGGATATTAAAGAAGATATATTAAACATATCCTATGACACTGGATATTTAAATGTATGCATTTTGATATTTGAGCATGGAAAGGTTAGGGTAATGCTGATTCATAATAATTAATATTGTTATTTTAATATTTTTTATTTATTTATAAATATGCTCAGTTAGTGAATAATTTTCTAGCTATTTAACAGTTTTAATTTTAATTTAATTTAAATTTTAATTTTTAATTTAGTTTAATTTAATTTAGTTTAAATTTAATGAGCCTGTGAGGTCTTTATTGAATCTGAAGTATTCAGTCTAACACTCCAATATGCATCCCTACTTTACGTCATTAAATGAAGGGAAATGAAAAGTCATTTGTATTTAATACTCATAAGGCACAAAATTATTCCATTACATCTAATACAAGGATCCAAATGAACATATCTTCATGAAATATACATTGTAGTATCCTGCAATACTCACTCCGTTTCAGTTCTGGCCATTTATCTTGACTGATACGTTCATCTTCATAGTCAACTCCTGCATATGCAAAAATAAACCGAATAAGTTCTGCTTTTCCCCGGGCATTGAAGTATATAAGCTTGTATGATGGTGCCATCAGCCACTCTCTGTAATTTAAGAAAGTAACAATTCAGAGATTAATTGGCTAAATTGTAAAGTATCCTAGAGTGTTAGTACATATTTAATTGGAACTAGAACCAGCCATATTTGCACCTGGGTCTTTTTCAGTGATCAACACAATCCATATTCTTCACTCTAGTTTGTAAGATCTGAACACTTGACTGTAATTCGAGAGCTTATATTTATAATTAAATGAAAAGCCTGCAGAATTGTCCCTTTCATTTTGTTCATAGTTTGATGTCCATTCCATTGACATTTAATGGCAATTTTCTTTTTTGTTTAAAGTTATTTCCTGGCTGTGTTCTGATAGCAGTGTGTTGGTTGCACAGTCATTTTGTCAGTCTTGCTACACTTGTGATAGTAATTCCTACATGGACAATTTTAATTTAAGTAGTGTAATTGCCTAACCCATATTTTCTTTTTGAGTTCTGACACCAGAGAATATTTTATTAGTCATTCAGTCTAGTCGTGTTAGTTATAATGCACCTTTGAGTTTTCATACCTGAGCTGTATTTTATTTTTAGAGGCCACATTAAGTCTTTGGATTCTGACACTAAAAAGTCAGATAATTAACACAGGTAAAGTTGTCCTTATCGCTTAGTTCAGCATCACATCATGAAGATGTATGACAGTGTGAATGTAAGGCTCCCCAGACATTCTTAATCTCTGCACTAATACAAGTGAGTGATCAGCTTTGCACCCTGGCCTCACCACCTCCAAGGAACAGATGTATTAATTTTCATTTCATGCACCCTGTTGTGTTAGAATATACAACATCTTTGTTAAAACCGTTACAACACAACTATATCAAGGTCAGTGCCTAGTTTGGCTCTGCTACATGTTTACATTCCCTATAGAACGGACAATACTTTGTAAGATGAGGCAGTGACTAAATAATTAACATTAATATCACTACATCTACATCATGAGCCTCCAGTAACAGTTTATTATATATACATAAAATATAGAATACTCCAATTTGTCCGAGGGAACACAACAAGATCACAAATTCCAATGACTGACTTGATGATGTAAAGCATCAATTGAAGAATTTTATTCTTGTTTTATACAATCTAATTTATTGTATTTTTATGCCAAGTATTTTAATATAATTAATATCATTGTATCCAATTTTATTAGTACTGAAGTTCAGTGGTTGTATATATGCTGGCCATGTATTTGCCTGATAATGTCTTTTAATTGCCGAAACATGCAACAGAGCCAAACTCGTCACTGACCTTTATACAGTTGTGTTGTGACGGTTTTAATAAAGAAGATGTATTAATGCTGATGTAAATCTACAATATTTTCTTAGAATGCTTCTTAACTGAATCGAATTACTACACCTCTGTTTGTTGACTGCATGATGGTAATGATCACTATATACACGTATACTCTTTCATTATAGTGAATGTTTCCTATTAAGTTGGTCAATCACAATTCCACATGCATGTGTACCGGTCGCTGTATATACAGTTTTATTACAACATTGCATGCTCTTCTCCAATGGATTGGATGATAAGATAATACAGAATACTATAAATACCTCTCTTGAAATGTCTCTGCTTACATGACAGGCAATTAACCTCATACTGGAAGAGGCATATTCCCAGAGATACTTATCTGCTTTCAGTTCTGGTCTGTTGGTTGGATTGTATGTGATAGAATTATAGCTGTGAGGGTTGTATTATGTCTGAAGGCAACAATAAGGAAAAGGATGAGATATGGCTGTTAATGGAGTTGCTCTCATCCCTGCTGCTATTCCTTTCAACCCTCAATTACTTGCAAATTATTTGCATGATATAATCACATCAAAATATTATGTTTTGAAGGGTATACTGATAAACATAGAGGCCTAATATGAGGCAACATACATGTCTTGCCTCCTTCATGTTTCTTGATTTAATTGCCTTAAGAACGTTTAGCTAGAGAGTCTGTGTGAGACAATCATTATAGTCACTATCCTATGGACCAGCCACCTTTTTCTTTTATTGCTAGTGGGGCTGGACTAAGTCCCTTCTACTATGGCCAGTTCTGGTGTATTATACCAGCCCCAGATGATAGGTGAGGGTGACTGTGGAGCAATTGGTGGAATGAAGATTGGCAAGGGAAACCGAAGTACTCGGAGAAAACCTGCCCCAGCGCCACTTTGTCCACCACAAATCCCACTTGACCAGACACGGGATCGAACGCGGGCCGCCGCGGTGGGAAGCCAGCGACTAACAGCTTCAGCTATGGCCCGGCCTTGAGGGCGCCTTGGTTGACCTCTCTGCCGCGTCGGCCCTGGCTTGCACGTAATAGAGTAAAATCTAAAGTTAATGGTGTTCTTAATTAATTACGCACAACATCATGAATACGTATGAGAAAATGGAGGTATAGCTCTACCATTCATGAACTCCGCACCAGATGAAGGTGAGTGGTGAGCTACATGTCTCGGCCTCTTTACCCCCGGTACCCATTAGCTAAGAGGCTGAGTGGGCACCAGAATTACTCTGCAAGCTGTGGAGAAGAGTTAAATCTCTGGTCCCTACCAGAAATCGAACTCCGATTCATCGGCCCTCCTGTCCATATCACTATATCGACGGAGCTTGGGTGTGTTAATGTTTTACTGGATATGATTTCGTACTTTTACAACCAAAGATGGAAATTTATTAGCTTTTAATAAATAACTAACTTCATGGGTTATTTGAATCTGTGTGGACGGACTGGACGACCGAGGAGTCGGGGTTCGATATCCGACAGAGGCAAGAGACATTTCTCTTTTTCACCGCTGCCCATTGAACCTGCTATCCAATGGGTACCGGAGCTTCCTTCGCTGAGAGTAGAGCGACCGGAGCTTAAAGCTGATAATTCACCTCCCTCTAGTGTTGAGGTTAAGAATGAGTGTATTTGTGTTTCCACTCCATATAGGTCTTCATGGCATGGTGCCTAATTAAGCACACGAACAAGTTTGCCTTTACCTTTTATACATCTGAATCTGAACTTACTGCTCAAGCCAAAGTTGGCTGTTAACATCAAATAATAAGACCCACGCTGTTTTCTCCATAATCCCCACTATGTTAGCTTTTCACGAAACAAAAGTAAGAACATTTTACTTTCGCCGATGTGGGAAGGTGAATAAATTAGTTCCTGTTATTCTACAGCACGACATGTCATGTCTCGAAGGCGTATTTTCAAATATAGCATGATTACGTGCACATGCATTGTAACTAGAAGTGTTAAAATCGTTTGAATGGTGGACGAAAAAGAATAATAAGCATAAAATAAAGTGGATTTGAAAACAAGTATTCAGATCATTAGAATGGTGGATGCAACTGAATTACAGACATAAAAGGAAGTCGGTTTGAAAACAAGTAGTGCTTCCCGAAGAAATCGTCCTGTTAAGAAATTAATATGCTTACATGGGGAAAGTACCCTTGTATCCCATTAGACAGAGGCTAGGTGGGGCCGGAATCGTTGAGGATGTGGTGACAAAGAGAAAAATCCCTGCGCCTGTGTTGGATCTCCATAAAAAAGTAGCACGTCCTGAGATACTACGCACGGCATCGGGCTTAGTGGTATAGACTGGATTCATCTGGCTCAGTTTCTCGCGGACACGGTACTGAAGCTTCGGGCTCTATAAAATGCTGGGAATTTCTTGACTAATTGAGCAATTGTTAGAATTGGTTCGTTAGGCAACGAAGAACATGAAGAGGAGTATTCATTTCGTTCAGTCTGGTCAATATGCGCGGCCACGCGCCAGGGTATTTGGTTCAGGCACTATGCTAAAAGCTTGAAGGTCGCGAGTTCGATTTCCAATGACATTGAATTTTTCAATGTACCTCATCTTTCGAGCAGCACTATGGCCCTGGGGTCGACTCAGCGTCTAACAGAAACGAGTACCGGGAATTTTCCTGGGTGTAAAGGGTGGGCGCAGTGTACGGCTGGCGACCTCATCGCCATCTGTGAACCGATTGTCCAGAATATGTGGGCAGCCTCGACGTTTCCCAACACTATGGGCCTCCACGGCCTATTACCGGAATAGTTTTACCTTCTTTGGTCAATGGGTTTCAGTAAAGATACTCGATACAAAAGCTGCTTTATTGGGTGCATACAGACAGATAAACAGACAAAGAGACAAACCGACAAAGAGACGGACGAAATGAAACGGAGATGCTGACTCTCGACTGTAATGTCGACAACTGAGCTGAAAGTAAGAATGGGTGAGAGAACTCCAGTGGAGCGCACATACAAATTTGTGAAATTTGCTGCTTTGTATTTTGTACATTTTACTGAAGAAATAAATCCATCTTTCAAGCTAATAACAATATATAAGTGAAATTAAGTTTATTTTTGTATTCGTAAACATTCATTTTAGTGACAAAAATATTTTACAAATTGTGGATTTGAATTAGATATATACTTCATGCTTCTTTTTATTCGCATAGCGGGAGGTGGACTTCAGCTGGGTCCATTCGGCACGGCGGCCACTGTACCTGCCCGGTGATTATGATGATGGAGAATTTGGTGGAGTGAAGATTGGCAGGGAAAACCGAAGTACTCGGAGAAAACCCGCCCCAGAGCCACTTTGTTCACCACAAATCCCACTTGACCAGACCCGGGATCGTATCGACATTTTGCATGGATACATCGATAAAGCGTCGTGCAAAACGGTGATCATACTAAACAGAAAAGAAACGGATTTATGGCTACCTTCAGGAAAATAAATGCAGACCAAATTTGATATGAATCTGTTCAAGTAATTTTGCCGACGAAACATGCTGACAAACAGACGAATCCGACTGATGCTAATTTCGCTTACTGTGTGTAAAGAACGCATAATGTTAGTTACCTCTTACGCCATTTCAGTTACGGATTTGGATATGAGTGACCCGATCTTTGGCTTTGCGTGTTTGAGTCACTCGGATCTCTTGGAGGAAAAAGTCAGCTTGATACCCAATTTTAGGGCATAAGAGAAATAAGTGAGGCTATTTTCTACCATAGTTATATATATTACACAATATCGCACACGATTTTTACATGGAGCTAATAAAGGCACGCAGCACAAGAATTTCTACTCGAATCGCAACTCATGTTTATGACTTACTTATTTACTTACTCATGGAACTGAGCCCTTCTGGAGGAGCCGCCAATTCTGCAGCTACTCAAGAACTTCCCAGCATTTTATGGAATCCGAAGGTTCATTACCGTGTTCACAAGAACCCTCCACTAGTCCCTATCCTGATCCAGATCAATCCAATCAGTACCATCCCATCCTGTCCCTCTAAGATCCATTTTTATATTGTCCACCCAGCTACGCCTTGGTCTTCTCAGTAGTCTCCTTCCTTCTGTCTTTCCCACCAATATCCTATAAGCGTTCCTCATCTCCCCCATTCGTGCTACATGCCCTGCCCACCTCATCCTCCTTGACTTGATCATTCTAATTATACTTGGAGAAGAGTAAAAGTTATGAAGCTCCTCATTATGCATACTTGTAGAAAGAATGGGCCTGGTGCTTCTATTTAGAGTGCACTTGTTTCCGTGGAAACTCTTCCAGATTTCATACTCCATGTGAAGTTTGTCTGTTGCACACACAATTTAGTTAATTTGTTAAGTTACGTTAAAATATTCCAAAGTTATTGCATTTTCACGAGCAACACAAGTAAGTAATATTAAAAGAACTACCAAATTTCAAAATTGGCCGCGCCATAGCTCAAGCGGTTAGTCGCTGGCTTCCCACCGCGGAGGCCCTGGTTCGATCCCGGATCTGGTCAAGTAGGATTTGTGGTGGACAAAGTGGCACTGGGGCAGGTTTTCTCCGAGTACTTCGGTTTCCCCTGGCAAACCTCATTCCACCAGTTGCTGCACAATCACCCTCACCTATTATCTGGGGCTGGTACAATAGGCCAGAAGTGACCGCAGTACAAGGGGCTTAGTCCCACCCCCCTAGCAATAAAAAGATGAAATATTTGTAAAATTTTACAATAACAAAAAATCACGAATATATTATACATTACAGAAAACACGGACGCCTCAAGAAGAATGTAGCGCAAGTAAAGACAAAGAGTGGTTTTCTCAAGCAAATGTGTTTTAATGAGCGAACGACGAAAATGCAATAACATTGGAATTGATTTAAGAACAAATGCAGCGCAGCAACGTCAACAAGCCAGCAGTTGTCTGAGGATGGCCAATTATGGCCGAAAGATGTAGCAATTTAATTTTAATATTATTTTAAGTTAAGGAGTAATTGTAAAGTTGCATTAAAGACGGAAGTAATTGTGTAAAGAAATTCATACGGATTTATTATTATTACTTTATTGTTATTTATTTATTTATTTATTTAGACTCTGGTATGTCGAACCGGCTGTGGGGCTTATCCAGCTGCCTGTCTAATGGATACAGGAGGTTCTTTTCAGAGAGATAAAACGACCAGCGCGCGAACCTCCCAACTCCTCCCCCCCCACTAGTACCGAAGATGAGAATGCATAATCCTTTCCTTCGTTCTCTCGTACAGGCGCAACAAATTTTATTTTAGAAAAGAGGCCCGAAATTGTGACGATTTTGAATTAAAGAAGCGAGATATTTTATTCTGTAGAATTTATTTCCCTAATATAGTCTTCTTGGTGTTTGAGAACAGGGTGTCGAGGAGAATATTTGGACCGAAGAGGGATAAAGTGACAGGAGGTTGGAGAAAACTGCATAATGAGGAGCTTCATAACTTGCACTCTTCTCTAAGTATAATTAGAATGATCAAGTCAAGGAGGATGAGGTAGGCAGGACATGTAGCACGAATGGGGGAGAATATAAATGCATATAGGATATTAGTGGGAAAGTCAGTAGGAAAGAGACCACTGGGAAGACCAAGGCGTAGGTGGGTGGACAATATTAAAATGGATCTTGGAGAGATAAGATGGAATGGTGTGGATTGGATTGGTCCGGCTCAGGATATGGAACCAGTGGAGGGCTCTTGTGAACACGGTAATGAACCTTCGGGTTCCATAAAATCCTGGGAAATTCTTGAGTGGCTGCACAATTGGCAGCTTCTCAAGAAGGGCTCAGCTCCATAAGTAAGTAAGTAAGTAAGTAAGTAAGTAATAGAGCTCTCTTCAACATTCCTGTAGGTACTTATATGGATCGAAGGGCTCAGACTAACCAGAAACTATTGCCTATGCAGTATGCACATTTTTGAAAGGAAGGGGAAATGCATACAATCGTTGGTACACGAAATACGGAGTAACAAAGGTTTCTTTAGTGCACTGTGACAGAGTGTTCTTTATTTGTCTGCTTATCGAGATAGCAAAATTAATATTCATGGGACAGGTGGAAAATGTATACAGAATTTTAATTGAAAAAAATCGAAGAAAGAGACCAGGCAGTGTGCTTCAGCGCAGATATGAGAATATTGTAATTGATCTTGAAGAAGTGAGTGTGAGGATGTGGGTGCATATGAACGCCATAAGGAACCTCTGGGTTACATAAATTTGAATATTTAACTGTCTGAGCGACTGTTAGCTTCTCTAGATCTCCTGAGTTATTCTCACGACTTATATTGTTAATTGTGTGAACGGAAAAGCGTCAGTGGGGAGGCTAATTCCGCTTCTTTGGAACCAACTTCTCTATATTTTGGGGGGAGGTTAGATCTAAAAATATACCTATTAATAGAACAATTGAAACTGGAAGTTGCTATGGCATGGAAATGAATGTGGAAAAAACAAAAGTAATGAAAATTTCGAGACAACCAACCCAAGTCACAATAAAGATAGACCAAAAACAACTGGAGAATGTGAAATGTTTTAAATATTTGGGTAGCTTGT